CTAATTTAGACTGCTACAAAGAACACTGACTTATTAGGTTTTGTCTGATCATTGTGGTAACCCTGTTTGTTCGAGCAGTGTGAAAATGACAAATCAAAATCTAACAGCTTAGAACTTAGAAGGTGTGGCACGTTAGCGTTTGTTGGTGCATGTGTGAATTAGTCATTCACAAACCAACAAGAAACAACACAGACATCTTTCACCCTGTCTAGGATGTCAACGTATAGCAGTAGGCTATATGATTTGAAATTGTAGTTGTACTCCTAAAAGCCATTGACTGGATGTTCTCAAAAGATAAGTGGCCACTGCCATCATCTTTGTATCTGAGAGTCACTTTGAAAAACAAGACCAATTAACTATTAAAAACCTTGAGTGTTCGTCATGTTTACATGCTACTGAACGGTTTGCTGTCAGTGGCTCATAGAGTAACAGCGCCACCCAATGGCTCGCTACATTACTGCATCATCAGCTATGACTGCATGCTAAAATAAACCTTGACACTCATCCATTACGTCATTAATACGTTTTGATACAGATATAGATTTGATTTAAGTCAACAAAAAGAGCAGCCCGCTTTTAAAATGAAGGAATAAAACACGTTCTGCAAGTGTCTTTCATCCTACCGAGACATCTGACCACCAGAAAAAGTCTATTGAAAAGTGAAGACAATGGGACCCACAGAGCCAGACTGTGGAGTGAGAATGACATAAAGGTTATGGAGGAGAGCCGCAAGTTTGTATCATCACCTGCTGACCCAACCGGCTTTAAGATGAAGGCTGCTAGAAACAGAGGTCAAGGCACCTGTATGGTTGAGGGACTAAACAGCAGGGCTGCAGAACAGTCATGGCTTGAAAGGCAATCAATGCTATAAAAAAAAAAAAAAAAGTAGATGAGACCTTTTGCTCCTCAAGATTTACAACAAGGTGCAGTCATCAGCTCAGAATAGGTCTTGCAGCAGAATGACAACTCACCGCCTTCTCAGGGCATACATTTTAAAATTGTTTTTGTTAATTGAAATAAAACGGAGATAAACGATATATATTAGATGAAAAATTAAACCTAAAAATTACAAATGTTGCCTTATAGGTTTAAGGTGAAGTATTTATATTGCTGAAACAAAAAATAAATAAATGAAAGTTTTAATAGAAACAAATAGAAAATAAATAAATAATAAAAATAATATAATGGTATATAGGCGTACAAATAATACCAGAAAGCAGATTCGTCACTGCCTATGAGATCCCATAATCCTGTGCATGCTGTTAGGGAGTGGATAAAAAGTTACTAAACTCAAAAACGCCCTTTGTCCAACTTACTATTCTATTTAATCATATAAGTGTTATGCATTACATTATGTTGCCTGAAGTTGGTTTGAAATGCAGTTTCCTTATAGGACTGGGCAGCAAAAGAAGCTAGGCTACTTCCAGTTTACTAAGTGAAACATATTTCAATGAATACACCAATTAAAACACTTTTAAAAAGTTTTAAATTATTATTAAATACAGCAAACTTTAAAAAATAATAATAAAAACTCTTATTTGCTACATAAAGATTTAGCATATAAAGTATGTTAAATCCCACAGGGTAGGCTATATGGCAACATGTGATGAATTTGTTTTTCAAACCATTATGCACTATTATTGTATTTAACAATATTTTGAATTTTTTTTTGTATTTATTTATTTTTTTACATTTTTAGTTTTCATTTGTGACCCTGGACCACAAAACCAGTCTTAAGTCGCTGGGGTATATTTGTAGCAATAGCCAAAAATACATTGTATGGATCAAAATTATTGATTTTTCTTTTGTGCCAAAAATCATTAGGATATTAAGATCATGTTCCATGAAGATATGTTGTAAATTTCCTACTGTAAATATATTAAAACTTAATTTTTGATTAGTAATATGCATTGCTAAGAGCTTCATTTGGACAACTTTAAAGGCGATTTTCTCAATATTTAGATTTTTTTGCACCCTCAGATTCCAGATTTTCAAATAGTTGCATCTCGGCCAAATATGGTCCTATCCTAACAAACCATACATCAATTGAAAGCTTATTTATTCATACATCTCAATTTCGAAAAATTGAACCTTATGACTGGTTTTGTGGTCCAGGGTGACATTTAAATTTTAGTTGTAGTCATTTTGTTATTAGCTTTTGTCATTTTTATTTCATGTATTTTTTTTAATTTTAGTTAGGGCTGCTTCAACTTTTTATTTTAGTTAGTTGCCACAACATTTCTAATTTTCAAATACATTTTTTATTATTATTTGACGTTTAAACTAATTTCATATTTTATTTCATTTTTTATTTTAATAAACGAAAACTATTTTAATAGTTTTAGTTAACAATAACAACACTGAACCAGTCCACAGTTTTGACTTTCTAACCTTACCACATATAAAACCTGCACAATCTGACCACAGAAATAGCATAAACCCAGCCAAGTTGCAATTTTTGTCATTTGTGTTGTTTACCACACGCATCAGACGCTCTGTGAACGGCTGTGCTGAGCTCAGACTGCTTGGCTTTTAAACATTTCTCATTAAACTCGGCAAATTCACTGCAGTAAACGAGCTTAAAGCCCAGTCCCAGCTGGCAACATGCTCCTAAAACTCTTCTCCTGCTGGGCTGGGGATGACATGGGCACAGGCGGCACACGGACAGCCTCCTGGCCCAGACCGACAGACGTTAGCGAGATCAAAGCGAGGGCAGAAGGCATCGGATGCCCGTATATACCCAGACAAGGGACGTGGCTTAACAGATGTGGGTGTTGGTCATTACTATCAGTGATCCGTTTTAATGTGCCCGCTGAGTAAGGGACGGCTGACCAGTGCCATCTGGATAGAGAAACAGAGACACGGACACTCTCTCCCTCCCTCCCTCTGTTCCAGCTCCGGAGCCACGGAGTCTACCCCAGCAACAGGAGGGCTGCCCATTTTCTGTCCGTCTCGGTCTCTCTCGTCCAATATGACGCCGCTACATCACTTCTCTTCCTCTCGAGGCCTCAGCGGACCGAGATCACCATGACCGGCGAGCAGAGAGGAACGAGACAGCAGTGAGAGACAGATGAGATGGAGAATAAACCGGCGGATTAAAGGTCACAAAAGGCGGGAAGAAAGACAGGAAAGATAAAACCATGGGAAGAGAGAGAGAGAGAGACGGGGAGTGGGGGTAAAGACAGACAGCACAAACTCATCTACATGCAAATTCATCCAACTAAAAAGAGGTCTGGAGAAAAAAGCGGCCAAAGCAGCAGAGGACGAGCAGTCTGCGCCTAATGTACAGAAATAAATGGCATGCGCGTTGTCATGGTAACTATTAACTGACAGAGAGAAAGGGAGAAAGAATGGATCCAGGCTAAAACTATCATCTACATGTAAATTATCCTCTTTCTGGCTCCACTGCTCTGCTCTCAATTGATATTGACAAACTTTTTTTTTCTTTCTCTGTAAATAGCAGCATGAACTCTTTATGCTCCAGGAGATTTCAACACTGAAACTGTAAACTTCTCACAAATGAAAAACAGCGATTATAATAAAGGAACCACTGTTTTCCCTTATAAAAAAGTACAGTGTACATAGATGTACGCTAAACTAAATGTTTGAGGCTGGTAAGATTTTTTAAATGTTTTTTTAAAGTCTGTTATGCTCACTAAGGCTGCATTTATTTGATCAAAATAAGAGTAATACTTTAAAATATGATTACAATTTAAAATAACTGTCTTCTAGGTTAGTATATTTTAAAGATTGATTTATTCACAGTATAGCCAAGCTGAGTTTTTAGCAGCCACTTTTCCGCCCTTCAGGGTCACAGCCTTCTGAAATCATTCTAACATGGTGATTTGGTGTAATAAAAATATTTCTTATCTATTTGTGAGCTTTAATAATTTTGTGAAACGTGTTTATTTTATTTTATTTGTTCTCAGAATGCCTTGCTGAATAGATGCATTCTTGCTGAATAAAAGTATTTAATTTCTCTCAATAAATAAAAAAAAATCTTACTGACCCCAAACTTTGACTTGTAGTGTAATACCATAGTACTGATGATAACACTTGAATGTACACCAGTATTTAGGCCTACTGTACATGATGATATTCATGTACTTTAAAACAATTTTATGATGCATGTCCAAAAGGTACTGAGTCCAAATAATAGTAGTACCATGGAACTTTGTTGTTTGTGTCAAATCTAAAAATCTAACCGTCTGCACCCTTCACAATTCATTAAACCATTGATCAGAGTCAAGGACACTCTTGTTGTGTAATAACGAGAGTTTGAGGTGTTTAATTGACTTCACTAAAGCAAAATGAGCTCTAATTTGTGTGCTAACTGCCTTATTCAAGATCATTTGGGAGCCTAATATTATAATCTAGTTAATGACAAAACTGAAAAGAACTTGGAAGAAACTAACGATGAAAATACATTAGTGATGAAGGACAGATTACAGTCGTCTTAATGTAGATGCGAAATTGCATCATAAATATGAGAGAGCTGCAACACGATCTAAAGTTTCAAATATAAGCAAACTTTATATGTGCATAATAAAATTCTGCACAGCTTACAATGACATATGACAATATACGACACTAAAATCTGCAATAATGTCTTGAGAAGGCACAGTTAGTGCTGGAAAAACTAAACATTTCTCATATATTCCTTTTATTCACATCTGTCCATGCAAAGGCTGAAGAAATGTTTGGTTTTACTTGTGCTTAAAAGTTTGATTGCAGTTTTATGATAAACTAGGGGACGTTTAAGTGCCAGAGACAGAGCATCTAAAATAAAGCTAATAATCATCATTCTCTCTCTACATTATGGTCATAGTTTCACTACTACTGGATTGTGCTGCCATCATTTGGTAGAATAATGCATTGCAATGAGTGGACTTTTTCTCTTTCTAAAAGTAGTGGAAAGAAAACAATTCTTAATTAATAGTAATAATCATATAATTATTAGCTGCAGATTGTAAAAAAAAATAAACACTTCCATTTGGTACATCTTTTATTACAAAATATTGTCATCCCACAATTAATCTTACAGTAATTCCAAAGCATCATAGTATTGACTAAATCAGTCATTTTTCCCCATATCAAGTGTACTCATTAAAAGAACAGTAGATAAACCACAAGACACTGTAATGTACCTCTCAAACAGAACGAAGCACGAGGCACTGTACAAGCCCCGCTTTTCTTTTCACTTTAAAACCTGACATTATACAGACTCTGGGATCTATTGGCGATTTCCATGTAATATTTCCAGGTAATAACCAGAGATGAAAAGTGTGCACATATCTATATTACTTAAATGCAAAAAAAAAAAAAAAAGCCCCAGCCCATGGTTTATGATCAAATGTTTGAAATTAGTGGTCATTCTCATACCTATAAAAGCATTACCACAGAAATGGACAAAGCAACCACATCAATGACTTATTGAAATCCAGTGATACTAAAAGAAAACAAACAAAAAGTAAATTTAAACAACAACCTGTAATTACCTGCTAGCAGCTTCTCTGAAGGAAGTTGGTGTTTTTCCCCCCCTCGTAATCTTCTGAAGACATCATTCTAATCCTGTAGGCCTAAAAGGACCATTGACTGAGTTTCATTAACTGACTGCCATTATGAATCATTTTAATGTGGAGTAACCAAGAACCAACATTAGGCTGTGACAACACTACTGGAGCTTTTCAATGCACACAGAGATTTTTCAGTAAATTAAAATTTCCTTCTGCGGAACGGAAAAAAATTCTTTAGCTGTGACTAAATCGACCGAATAGCTTGTTCCGGAGTTAAAAGGTTTTTTAAGTGCTCTTTAAAGAGTGATGTGATTTTAACATTTTCGTAAAACTGCCCTGCTGTATGGAAACACCACTTTCAGAATCACAAAACCAGACTAGTGCTGGCTTGCTTACCAAAAGATGAATCTGAATTTTTAAATGGAGCCTCTAACTGAACTGTGATGTGTCACAGGAAATGATCTGTGCTTTAAAGTCGAACTATTATGACATCACTTTGCTGCCGTGGCATTTCAACACCATGGGTGGCTTTTAAATGAACAGTCTGCATCTCGTGTTTCATGATTTAATAATCATTTTCATGAGAGCGAGTTACAGCTAAGAGGGACATTTATCAAATCTGCTTTAATATTAAAATTGCGCACATGCAGTTTCTCATTCAATTATGTTATTCCCTATGGTACTACCTCAACCAGTCGAGACTGCGCTAGTTTTTTAAAAATGTTTTGCTCTAGTGGAACTGGTTTTGTTTATGGCATATGTAAGGCCCAGAGTGTTGTAGGGGGTTATATATCAGAAGTGGCTGGATAGAGGAGATGTCCTCTGCTCGTGTCGTTTACCCAGAACCCCAACACGTCCACAAGCATTCAGATAAAAAAAAGAGGGAATTTTGCATTAATTCTGTTCAAGTCAAGTTCAGCACGAATGTCAACCCATTCCTGGAGGATAGGCTTGGTTTAAAAAGGGTGAAGAAAAGATGACTCTTTGAACAGAGTCCCCTGTTCTTCAGTCGCAGAGCCTCAGCTCAAAGCTCTGAGTGTGTGTCACCACCTGACAGAGAGAAAGAGCAGAAAGAGACTCAAATTAAGTAAATAATTATAAAAAGCTACTCAGCACTTTGCACGATTAGGCTAAACTTTGGTGTTCTAAGGAGATTTTTTTTTGTTTAACTAGAGATATTAGATAAGAAAAAACTAGACAGATTAGATAAACTGTTAATTAATGAACTATACAAGCTTGTTCCAGCTCAGAGATCTCGACCTTCTCAGCTGTATCCTCCGATTTAAAATCATACACTATTGTTTAAAAGTCTGAAGTCAGTAATTATATATATATATGTGTGTGTGTGTGTGTGTGTGTGTGTGTGTGTGTGTGTGTGTGTGTATATATATATATATATATATATACATACATATATATTTAAAGTATTATATTTGTAGTATTAGTATATATAATAGTGACATTAAAGACAATTAAAATTTTACAAATGATGTCTATTTTTAAAAATGCTGTTCTCTGGAACGTTCTATTCATCAAATAATCATGAAAAAATTCATGGTTTCCTCTGAAATATTTGCAACATTGATAATAATATGGAGCGCTTCTAGATCACCAAATCAGCATATTAGAATGATTTCTGAAGAATCATGTGACAATGATTACTAGAATACTGGCTGCTGAAAATTCCGCATTGCCATCAGAGGAATAAATTACATTTTACAATATATTAAAACAGAAAGCAGGTATTTAACATTCCAATATTTCACAATATAACCCATTTTACTTTTTATATCAAATTGATGCATTTGCATAATGCTTTTTAATATAAAATTAATCACAGGCAATGAACAAAAATGTAATATTTTTGATATGCTGAATAGATTTTTAATTCATTTTAAGGAAAAACTGTTAAATTAACTAATTCCAATTACCCAAAAGTTTAATTATTGCATGAATTTCCCTCTATTGAAACAAAGCTACATTATTTGTGACATTTTATGTATGTTTTTAAATGATTCCATTTTATACATTTTATTTAAATAAATATTTAAATAAATGTATTTTATTTATTTAATGTTTATTGTAAAAACACACCAATCAAATCATGCATTGCAGGGTTTTAAACAGTTTTTAGACATTGTACTGTATAATTATTTTCCCCTCATGAAGTGGATGAACAACATATCTTTAAAGTCCTATTTTGTACCATAATTGTGGAAAGTGCCATTCAACAGGTTTAAGCATCACAGTGACATTCACTAACACAAAAAGGAAAAGGACAGATTGGTCTCACCTGGGTGTTTTTTGTCTGTTTGCTGATAGCTGTCTGTGGTGCCTCTCTCTTTCTCCTCCAGGAAATTGTTGTAGATTCTCTTTATCTCCTGGTCATAGTCGCTCCACTCGGCTACTATACGTACAGCAGCCTGCAGCTTGGGCTCTTTTGTCTGTGGATTATTGCACTAAGACAGACAAATACAAAGTGTTAATTACTGACAACAAACAAACATGAAAATCAAACCAAATTTTTTTCGACAAATTCACAACCGTTGTGTGCAGAGAGCAACTGACTTACCAGATCTATAGTCTTGGCTTTCTTTTTAGATGCATCATCACACCAGGTCTCACACCAAAGCCACTCCTGAGGAAGTGACTTTATTGGCACCTGGTGGATCATGTTGTTGGGCAGATCCTGAGAGAGGAAAACACATCATCAATGAGGAGCCCAAATTATGAGCCCAGTGATAAAGCCTTTCTGTGAAGGAAAGAACATCCCACCTGGTCCAGGTTGGACAGGCTGTTGGGGTCCTGACTCAGACCTTGGTACTGGCCTCTCAGTCTGTCTCCAGCTGCGATCTTCCTGAACTTCTTCAAATCGACCACATATAGAGCACTGGGGGAGCACACAAAATCAAATCAAGTCACATTTATCTATACAGATCTTTATACAGATCGTTTCAAAGCAGCTTCACAGCAATAAACATGTAAATAACATTTTCAGTTATGAAACAAATTGAATTTCAGCTATAAAGCAGCTTTACAGTAGACAAATCATTTGATGTACTGGACAAGGCTATCTTATGACTCTACTGTGGCATTTTAAACTGAAAAAAAAAAACTGTTGTTTGGTATATGTCATCATTAAAAATGAGTAGTGCTGTCAAACGATTAATCATGATTAATCACATCCAAAATAAAAGTTTTTGTTTACATAATATATGTGTGTGTACTAGTGTTGTCAAAAGACCCGGTACTTCGGTACCAAGTCAGTACTAAAAAAATGAAAACATTACAGTACCAGGTTTTTTTTAAAGTACCAGTGGTACCAAGTACCCGGTCAACCCGGTTCTTGATGCGCTCTCCGAAAAGGTGCACAGATGCGCTCTCTTCATAAAAGCACTGGTACCGAGAACCGTGGATTTTCACTGGTATTGGTACCGAATACTGAAATTTTGGTACCGTGACAACACTAGTGTGTACTGTGTATATTTATGTACATATAAATACACACACATGCATGTATATATTTAAGAAAAATGTTACGTTTATATATTAAATATATTTATATATGATATAAATTATATGAATATAAGTATATACATGCAAATACAGGTAAATATTTCCAAAATATATGCTGCATGTGTGTGTATTTATATATACACATAATAAATATACACAAAACACACACATATATTATGTAAACAAAAACTTTTATTTTGCATGCGATTAATCGCGATTAATCGTTTGACAGCACTAAAAATGAGGTAGACAAAAATGACAGACAACAATATTAGCAAACCATTTTTGGATGGTCCCATCCCACTTCTGTAAGGATGCTTACAGAAGTGGGGATAAAATCTTGTATAACCAGGCCTCTTACCTGATGTGATATTTCCGTCCCGCCAAGTGACTGGCCCAGTAGCCAGACTTCCAGAAACGGTATCCATCCATCTCTCTTCGGCTCTCACAGAAAGGCGTGTAACCGTATGGCGCTCCCTCCAGATCAAAGTCCCGCAGCTCCTTCAGGTCTGTGCGAACTATCTGTAGGAAAACGCACAACAACAACATTTTTCAATCCTAGATTGTGGGTCTTTATATTTACAGACAAAAGAAAGTAATTGCTGGTAATGGGATCAGGACATGACATGGTCAGATGAAAACCTGCATTGCCCAGAATAAACTAAATCTTTAAATATTTTTTATTTATTGTTGTTTATATTTAATCTCCAGCTACATTTTTCTTTACCCAGAGGTGGCAGCAGTGTATCATCAGATGTGTAATGTGCATGATGCCCTCTCCAGTTAGCATAACAAACACCTCGGATTACAACAACTGCTGTGCAATTCCAGTGACTACAAATGGGTGATCTGTCTGTACATAGACTTTTGAAAATAAATCTCATAAGAGCAGGCTTGTGCTTAGTGCTCACTAGAGATAGGATTTCATGCCACACAACAGCACTGCTCTGTTTTTGTACCTGATCCGCATCTACAAAGAGGATCTTGTCCACAGCCAGCGGGAAGAGCACATCTAGGAACAGGATTTTATATCCCCAGATGATCCTTTGCTTTTCTGTCTGCTGGTGGAGCCAGCGAGGCCATTTATACTGTACCAACTCATACTGGAAACCATACTTCTCTGCCATATATGGAATAAACTCCTACAAAAAGATAGACAAAAATATGTAACACTACTGTAATTTTTAATAAGAAATTAATTTATTTAGCAAGGACGCAGTAAACTAGCAGTATAATGTTACAAAAGACTTCTATTTCAAATAAATGCTGTTCTTTCAGACTTTTTATTCATCAAAGAATCATGAAAAAAGCATCATGGTTTACACAATAATATTAAACAGAACAACTGTTTGCAACACTGATAAAATTAAGAATTTTTTCTTGAGCACCACATCAGCATATTAGCATGATTTCTGAAGGATCATGTGACACTGGAGTAATGGCTACTGAATTTAAAATAATATAAATATAAAATATATTAGTTAAAATGCATTTTTTAATCCTATTTTAAATAAAAAATAATATATATTGTGTAATTAGGCTGCATCTATTTGTCAAATACAGTATAAACAGCAATATTGTGAAATATAAAAAAAAAAAATATCTATTTAATAGATTTAAAATGTCATTTAATTATTTGATGGCAAAGCCGAATTGTTGAAAATAAAATATAATATACATTACATAAAATACATACAACATAAGGGTCTGGTAACAGTGCCATCATGTTAAATCTCGAATCCAGTACCTTAAAAGTAGGAGACAGGTAGTTTTTGAGGAACCAGAACTTGACGGGTGTCTTGGTGTGTTTGAGCACAGACAGCATCATTATCCTGCAGAAACAGAGAGAGGCCAAAGCTCAACACAGAGTGCCTGCAGAAGAGTTATGCGAGTGACCTTCTAAACGGAGCTGCATTACACAACCAATAACATTGCCGCTAATAAGACATAGCAAGTCACAGAGATCAGCATTTAAAAACAGGCCTAAACAGAACTATATATAAGGAGGAAAATGTCACAAAAAGTCAAGATGTGACCCAAGCCAGGAGGTCATGTAAAAGTTATTGCATTTTCTTAATATGTGAAATTAGAAGATGTGTGTCATTTTTCAATATCACATAAGGATATACACAAGAGGACTTGTCTGTATTACATGTCAAAACTGTAGCCATTTCTGCTGCACAAGAATAATATTAGAGTCATATATTTGTCATAGCACAAATGTCATGATTCATTTGAGAACATGAACAGGGCTCTATGCTAATATTTTTTGTCTATGCAAACAACGACAGTCCTGACCACTTGAACATTTGATAAACAAAAATATATTGGTTATGCTGAACAGGCCAGCAGTTTATGAATATTAAAATAATCAAGCTATGGCATTCACAACTACTTGAATATATTTTCATGAATGATCTGTTAAGCCGTTATATGTTTATGTAATTGATCAAAATTTATGTTGTTTTTTTCTGATTCCATTATATATGCAATATCAGTGTAATCAAGTCACTTGTATAGGTGTAACCAAATATTTTCTTCACATTTACAGTAATATTCATTAGTAATGCTGGCACTATAAAATCCAACTGAAAGCAGCCGTTTACCTGAGGAACCGCTCATACAGGTGACCAGAGGCCACAGAAAAAATGTTAATGACATCATCTTTCTCCTGTTTGGGTTCTTCTGGCTTTGAACCACCAGTAAGTCCTCTGAAAGAGATAAAGAAAGAACCATTAACAGACAAATACTGTAAGTGAGAGCTACAGTAGAACTCAACAGGCAACACTTTGTACCTGGTTATAGATGTCCAGAATCCAGAGTCGTTCTCATGGGTATCATCACTAAGAAGTTCCTCTTTCATCATATCAGGCTTTTTCTGCACCTGCAAACATGATATAGGGCAACAGAATCTATGCATGAAATCCCTCAGCACTAATGCCGAGCACATGTAATTGCAACATTCTGGGAGCCACTTGGAAGGAATTGATCACAAGGGATCACGTAAATCTTAAATCACAGCGTTCTGGTTCTGTGAGACATGGGTGATGGGCAGGGTAGAAACTTAATTAGTAAATAAACTGGAGTTATGAAATAGTTTGGAATTGCAAAATAAAGCATGATTTAAATGCAATGCAATAACACAAGAATGTAATGTCTTATTCAGCAAGTATGCATTAAATAGACCAAAAGCATTTCTATGTAAAACAAAGGCTTTTCTTTTGAACTTTCTATTCATCAAAGAATCATGAAAAAAACCGTATCATGGTTTCCACAAAAATCTTAAGAAGCACAACTGGTTTCAACATTAATAATAAGAAGAAATGTTTTTAAGCACCAGATCAGCATATTATAATGATTTCTGAAGGATCATGAAACACTGAAGACGAAAGTGAAAGAAAAAGTGACGTGACATGTGGCCAAGTATGGTGACCCATACTCGGAATTAGTGCTCTGCATTTACCCATCCAAAGTGCACACACACAGCAGTGAACACACACAAACCGTGAACACACACCCGGAGCGGTGGGCAGCCATTTATGCTGCGGCGCCCGGGGAGCAGTTGGGGGTTCGGTGCCTTGCTCAAGGGCACCTCAGTCGTGGTATTGAAGGTGGGAGAGAGCGCTGTACATTCACTCCCCCCACCTACAATCGCTGCCGGTACGAGACTCGAACCCACAACCTTTGGGTTATGAGTCCGACTCTCTAACCATTAGGCCACGACTTCCCCGTCGTGGCCTAATGCCACGACTTGCTAATGCAGTCTTGCTTCAAGACTGAAGCAATGATGCTGAAAATTCAGCTTTGACGGTAAATTAAAAAATTAGATTTTAAATATATAAAAATAGAAAACAGCTGTTTTAAATTGTAATAATATTTCATAATATTCCTGTTTTACTGTATTTTTTATCAATTAAATGCAGCCTTGGTGATCACAAGAGACTTGAAACGCTTAAAAACATATGAAATAAAAACATATAAAATATGTTACAGTGTAATTGTACATTGAAGTACTGAGAAATATCAACAGCATGTACTTACTATTGCGTTGGGATTCAATTTACACTTAGGATTAGGATTGATTTAGGCTAAGTTGCTTGCCATTATGCATAATTTCCTGTTATTACTATAGTAAGTACATGTAACGTGTAACAAGGACACTGTAAAGGAAAGTGTTACAAAAAACCTTACCAACCTCAAAAATTTGAATAGAAGTATACATACTTTAATAACTTCTGAGTAGGATGTTTAACTAGGAAGATAAAAGTGTTTTCCGCATTGCTGCAACTCATGCAAAATGCAGTTTCACAACCAGTAAGAAACAACGCTGTACCAGCGATTGGAGCAGACCTCGCATTGGACACACGCCCACGTAACGGCTGACATGTGACAGCTTGTCAGAAATTAAGAGTATATACCGGAAAAGTAAAGACACTCTCTCGCTCTCCATCTCTCCAGTCGAGCAAAAATGGAAGGAATATCTCACACGCTCTTGTCTACAGCCACCTGAGCACATTTATCTCCGCTAATACCCTCAAACTACAGAGACAAAGACCTTGCATGTGACCTCACCCCGACACCTGATTCAGACACCCATTACTTACTTTCACTTTAATGATCTTGCTCTTGAAGTTGTTGAGGACGACGATTAAATCATCAGCTTCAGCTGGAGAGTCTGTGCCATCGTGACTGCGACGGGAATTAAAATAGTGAAGCGACCAATCAAGTGAAGAGACAGAAGGACATTAAGAGAGACAGACATCTGACATGTTATAATAGGGTACCTGTAGATTTTGTAGATATCATCCGACCTGCCTTTCCGCAGTCTGAGAATCCAAGCTCCTGGGTTTGCTTTTAGTTGGAAATAGCCCTGTTAAAGATGGATCACAATAAGCGACAATGACCTCTAAGGCAATCAGCAATTATTTCCCAGATGAATCTGTGACGTCCACTCACCAGGTTGGCCATGACGATGGTGTCGACTATGACAGGGTCGGAGGCAGAGCCCAGAGTGAACTGCAGCCCACGGGGCGGCTGACCTGTCGTTACGTCAAAACAATGACCCTCCAGTAATAAATATTCCAACTCGTACTCAGCGGCCACGACACTGTCAACCTGCAAATAAGAGGCTATGACTTGAATACTAATGATCACAACAATGAATACCTGTACATGGCTTAATAAAATGTGTAATATAACACAAATAAAAATATTGGGTGTCTGGTCTGTTTTACAATAACTGTGCTTTAAAGAAAAAGACTAATGCAAAGTATAGATAGCTTGATATGCATGCAGTAAAAATATATTTAAAACCGTAATATAGTAAAATAACATTGCGATTTAAAACAACTGTTTTCTATTTTAATATATTTTATAATGTAATTTATTCCTGTGATGGCAAAGCTGAATTTTCAGCAGCCATTCCTCTAATCTTCAGTGTCACATGATCCTTCAAAAATTATTTTAATATGCTGATTTGGTGCTTAGGAAATATTTATTATTATTATTATTATTATTATATATTTTTTAAGGATTATTTGATGAATAGAAAGTACAAAAGAACAGCATCTCTTTTAAATAAATAAAATTGTGTGAAATTATAAATATCTTTACTGTTATTTTATATTATGTGTATTATTATACACATTAATCCTTGCTGAATAAAGTATACATTATTTAAAAAAAAAAAAACCTAACTACTGACCCATATTTTTTGAACGTTAGTGTAGATATTCCTTTTTTTTTTATAACCTTGTTTTACCCTTTGTTGACACTGGAACTGTTTACCACAAATCAAATTATAAGGTTCTATTATGGAAAACAAAAATCAATAGAAAGGCTTTAAAGTTGAAAAATAAAAAAAAACATGTTTTTGTTATATCAATAAAATGCAAAAGTCTGATGTATCAAGTAAATATAAAGTATATGAAAAGTCCATATATATAAATGACAAGTTTAAAGGTTCTCTAAACAGTTTGATTGAAATTAAGTAAAATATCTAACTCTTCACCTTATTTGACCTAGACTTCATGAGTCAATAAGAGTGATGGGGATTCCTACCTCTTCAAGGTAGATGTTATCTAGATCATAGCGTGTGTGGACAGACTCAACCATCCAGCTCTCGGGGGTGTTGAGGTTGAGGGTAAACAACAGCGACTGTGGCATATCCAAGAATTTAGCCATCGGACCAGGAGCAAAGCTGCTATCTGCCATAAATGAAACCTCCGGCTCCAAAACATATCGATAAAAACTGAGTAGAAAAAATGGCTTAGTTTTAACAGAAATATACAATTATTGTACAAAAATATTGCAAGATATTTTAAAACATAAGCTAGCCTAAAACAATAATGTAGCACTTCAGAGTAAATTATGTCTTGCCATGCCCCACGTTATTGCGGCCTGTAAAAAAATTCTAGTAAACAGTGAAATGTGAAGGTGACTCTATGATGGAGCATGTGTTCTCACAGAGACAGTGTCTCTCTTCTAACCTTTTCAGTGGGAGGTCAGAGAGCTTGGACTGGCAGTTCATGAACACTCGCAGGTTGACGTTGACCAGCTGCTTTAACACCTGAGTGGGCACACAGAAAAACAGGAAGTGACTTGAGTCAAGGTAGAAACAACCAAATGAACCTGCTCTCAACGACAGCTGGTCTCAGAGATAGAGCCAACAAATGCAGACTGACTGCTGACTGACTGTACCTGTGAAATGTCATGGAGAGGGACCAGATGTCCTGTGATGACTAATGCATATATATACACAACATGTAGGACAAGCAGGACATGATTCTGGATCAACATCCATTGGTCAACATTCTTAATAAATAATAATGGCTCTAACATAATCAAGAGGTCAAGGTTTGGCTGGTTAGCATGATCTAGTCCAGCCCCTGCTGGTAAATTCTGTATCTAAACCATCTGGGTCCACATGTCCTACTTTTATAAGTTATGTTAAGTGAAGGTATGCAGAAGTTCTCACCAAAAGGAGGGGTGCCAGTTTCTGAGCATCTCTGGTCACTGGATCCACAACAGCTACAACATCGAAGTACACTTCCTCTTCCTTTGGTCTGATCTTTACAGCGCTGTGAAGAGAAATGGAGAGGAAGTTGACAACTGAATTCTGAGGATTTAGAGATGTCCTGGTATGAGAAGAAGTGACGTACCTGTATCTGTCTTCTGCAAAAGTGTGCTCGATCCTTGCCTCACCTTTGGGTTGGGAGGACAGCAGGGCGTCCACCTTCATCACCAGATCACTAGCTCTAAATCACAATACATACAAAAACAAACAAATCGAGGCTAAGACACAAAATCTACTTTATGCAAGTAAATGAATGCAAATGCTTCAAGCTAAACAAGCTCACTTTCACAGTCATCGCATTCAAAAATGTCAGAACACCATTCAGCTTGAAAAGAATTATGCTGTGCAACTTAGTTCATTTTTGTTCATCTGTGTAGACATGTTTATAACTAGATAGATGATTAACAATCATTTTATGAGAACAGATATTTGAACATAACCATTGTACCCCACTGAGGGGTGTGAATATTTTCTCTGATTGAATTAATATTATGAACAATAATATTGTGGTAAAATGATGGTTAGTTCAGACTTGTTTTTTCACTCTATCACGCACATTTAAAGGTTGGAGTCTTTCACATCAGTGAAACCCTAAAATATAAATAGCATATTAGGTTTAGAGTTCAAAATGTCCTGTAAAACATGATCAATCAAAATAATAAAATAAATAAAATAATTGTGTTTTTTTATGTACTAGCATTTGACTCTAAATATATCTTTTAAAATTACATTTAAATACATTTTAGCTTAATACATTAATTTACCTAAATGTTAATATATAAATAAATATTGTATTGAGATTCAGTGCCACATTGTGTAAATTATTTAAATTAGATTCACAAAAAAATTATGCCACTGAAGATCAGACATTGAAAACGGTGGCAAAAATGGTTTGTTTTTGTATTGTATTTTGTCACTTTTATTGACATGTATAACAGAGAGGATAAGAAACCAGATTAAAACCTGTGTCACCCACATGAGCACCATAGCTAACCAAATACACATGTGCTAACAAAAGCAGTCTGCTCTTCCAGTAAATACACATAAAATGGCACGTTTATTACGTCTCCATCTTCAAGGCAGACCGACACACTTCATTAAGAGTAAGTAATTACTGCAGAGAGTACATGTGATGGTTATGTTTAATGCATTGTAATCCTTCTACAGCTCTGACAGAAAGGCGTTCTGTACTCAAAGTGGTTTATAGCTCATCTTATGTTATATACAGGTGCATCTCAATAAATTAGAATGTCGTGGAAAAGTTCATTTATTTCAGTAATTCAACTCAAATTGTGAAACTCGTGTATTAAATAAATTCATTGCACACACGCACAACATTTTTAGTGAATTGTCGGCCTTCTGGAAAGTATGTTCATTTACTGTACATTTGCATCAACCAACGAAAGTGTCTATAACCTGTTGCACAGGATTGGTCTAGCATACCTGTCCTCTACCATGCCCAGCTGTTGAATTTTGGCCTTAATACGCTCCCCTGATGTCTTTAGGATAATGCTTTCCAGAAGCAGGAAATCATCCTGGTTGAAGACCTCCCCTTCTTCCAATGGACCAATGATCTGCAGAGAAAAAGACAAAAAGCAGAATAAGAAGAGCTTTCACGGCATCAGGATTCTTGCTATACAAAATGTCTAACTTACTCTTCCATTACTGATCACAGCTCTCTGGCCCTTCTGCAGTTTGAGGACATCCCGACAGTAGGCAGAGTGAGCCAACAGGAAGTTCACATTAGGGGACTCATATGCACTCTTAAACAGAGGAACATCCATGCCCTGTAGGGCAGAAAAATGCAGAAGGATCTGGTTAGATTGGTTCTATATTAAATTCTGCAGTTTAAAAGTGACATTCGCAGCAGCAACAGTGAAATAACCCAGAGCAAATAATCCATCACAACTGTAAATTAATTACAGGAGAGCTTATTTTACCCCGACAGCAAACTCTGCAATGTCACTCCCTCCGTAAAGAGCCTGTGCCGTCTCTTCTTTAGCCATTTTGGTGATGAAGTTTTTGGCGTTGTTGGCGGTTTGGGTTTGCATGGCTGCCCATATGGCTCGAGCAATTAGGCTCTTCTCATTAGATGTGTTCTCGCTGGGATTATTGATCACTCCTAATCGTACATTATTACTGGTTTTCTAAAGTAAAAAAAAAAAAGACATCAAATTATGATTAGTTTAGACTTGTTTTTTTCCCCACTCTAATCACACACATTTAAAGAATAAAGCTGTTATATAAACAAATATAAATATTTTAGAGTTGCTA